ATCAACTAGTTTGTAGTCGACCCTATGAAAGTATTAATCACAATCTCTTTGAATTACACACATAAAGCTTCCAGAGTTTTATATACAGACATTTTAATAATGAGAATTTATGATCTATAGAACCACTGCAAAAAGGGAATTAACTTCTTAACTGCAGCGGGTGTACATATATGCCTTGCTCAGCTGATGCATAAACTGCCCCGGGTGTATATATATACGCCCTTCCGAAATACTGTCATTTGCTTTGCGCTGCTACCGGTACAATTATTCGCAAAGCTTTGGAATGCAACACCACAATGACCTCGACAGAGTATGTAGGATATTATTTCAGAGAAGAGAGGGGAAGGAATTGGAGATGGGTATGTTTCTAAAACGGTAAAAGTAATGACTACACAGTTATGTTCATATTTCTGTTTGAGTAAAACGTATTTTTTTTTAATTCTGCATCTTCCGTTTTCGTTTACTGTTAGTAGTAGGTGCTTTTTTTTTACGAATATGTCTGACAGTGAAATAGATAACTTTCCGTCATCTTCGGTATCAGACACCTCAGAATATATTTCACCAGATGAAGAGGATTGTGGTTATTCTCTGAAAGATGCTCAACGTTAGGTATGACTTGATACGAAAAATTTGCCTAGGACTTCCAACTAATTTAGAAGAAATATATATGTTTTTTAGGTATACTGATTTTACAACACTGGAACCTACTATTACACTTTACTGATCTAAAAATAAATTGATCGAAACTCCATTTTTTTGGATTATTTTATTACCTTTTTTATTATACAGTAGAAGTCCAGAAATCCGCAATGCTTGGGACCAGAGGTTGTGTGGATTTCAGGACAGAAAAGATAATATTCAGACTAAAAGTGCAAAATAAATAAGGCGTATTAAGCCACGTTTCCACTGCTGTTTATGCGTTTCTCCCAATCAGCGAGTGAATTCACTTTGATCGACATCTGCAATTCGGTCGATGTGCAGTGATGGATGACATACGGATGGAGTTCAACAATGTTCAACTTCCATCCATATGTCTGCGGACGAGTTGGGGTCATGTGGTAAAAAAGGAGCAATCAGGTGTACTCACCAAAAACTAAAGGTGGCAGAAGTAGCCATGAACGCTTGCTTAGGGAAAGAATGTTTTGCTAAAAAACACTTATTTCTGGATTAGCATTATAGCGAGAAATCTGCATACTGAAAAAATCAGCAATCAGCTAAATTTAGTTAAAAAAAGATAACTGCAACTACAGTACTTATTCGCAAATAGAATCAGGTGTTCAAGAAATTCAGTTCAAGAAAATCAGCGGCAAAAATTATAATTCCAAGTCCATGAAATAGCAAATTTGTCCTGACAATTATTTCCCAGTTCTGTATACTCATTTACCTTTAATGAAAATGAATGTCTGACTATATCAAACTACTATAGCAAGTTAGATATGATTAAAATATATGTTATTTTTTTCTTTTGAAACAGGTAAAAACTAAAAATGTTAATTATAAATTAAATTTGATAGCCTTATAATAATCCACTGCATTAAAGAGTATGTTAAATTTGTATTTCTCTATTTATAAATATAGCTTTTTGGCTAACATGTATTTGTAAGCAAATGAAATATATTTTTAGCAGCCCATTTAACTTCAGTCGGAATGCCACTTTAAAAGATAATGTTTTTTATAAAAAAATGTACTAGAAGCTGAAGAACAAACTCTGGTGAATTTTTTAGATGATAGCACACTGCAATAAGACCAAAAAATTTAGTTTTAAGAATTGATTTACTTGATGATGTATATAAACCAAAATATGCATAAGACTATTGTGTGATGCTAGCTTAGTGGTAAAGCTGACGGTAACAATGTTTAACTTTTGGGGTTGTGAGTTCGAACACATATGCTTTTTGCACCCTGTCTGCAACTTTCTTAGCTTTTTGTTCCAATTATGATCTATATTTGTGTTTTATAATTTAATTCTATTATTATATGCATCAAATATATTGTTTTATTTATGCTCTTATTTATTTAAATTTTCCCCGCAAAAGTTTTGAAAATTATACAATACGAATTTAAAGCATACCCTGTACATATATATTTTAATTTAACAAACATTCTCTATTCGTAAAAAGCAAATTTAAAGTTAATTAAATTTAAGTGAAATTTAATCCAAACAAATAAATGATTAATTATTGCTGTAAACTAATCTACAATATCATTTAAATTCTGAGAGCATATGTAAATCAAGTGGAAGTATCAAAATTCATGAATAAATATATATTCCCCAAATCCATGAATCCATGAATAAAATTTATAAAAACCCCATAAATGAATTACTATTAATCCTAAAAAATTTATAAAAATGCATAAGTGAATTACTAGGATAAATAAATTTTTGGAATTATATATTTATTCATGGATTTTTGATACTTGCACTTGATCTACATATGCTCTCAGAATTTAAATGATATTGTAGATTAGTTTGAGGCAATAATTAATCATTTATTTGTTTTTGTATTAAATTTCTAAGTTTAAATTTGATTTTTACAAATAAAGAATGTTTGTTAAATTCAAATTTCATTCCTTGCAGCAATGGCGCAAGAGACTTATTTAAATTTAATTTAACTTTAGTATTTATTCTTTTGAAACCCTGTACATATATATATATTTTCGTTTCACTTTTATGTGAATGTACATACATGTGCTCAGACTTTGGGATGTTTACGGCTCTAAACTTTCATTACCAATTAACATGAGACAGTATTAATGCCCTAAACATTTTTTTAACAAATAATTACTATAATAATTGCTTTTAAATTCAGTCCTCTCCAGCAAAAGTGCAGCAATTAAATATTTCCATTTTCTTTACCTAATGTGCACATAGCTTATTTTTATAACTTCTTCTATAAAAGAGATATAAATTAAAAATATTTTATCGGATTATGCATAAAATATAAATGCCCATAGTGCATTTTAAAACAAACAAGATTTCTAATAAATTATCCAGTTATGACTCTGAAGTCAGCGGTATACAAGCATAGCAAATTTTGTGTAAATATTGTGAACGTTTCTTTACAGTTGCTCTGTATTTTAAAAGTACCAACTATTTTTTAATTCGTTTAACTTTTTTATTTTATTTAATTTGTTTATTTTTTCAGTAACAGTACATTTTAGTTTTAATAACATATATATTATTTCATTTATATTTAAGGCTTCTAGAAATGCAAAGAAATTTCTAAAATTTACTTCAGCTTCTATGCAATTAGTGATGTTCATAATAGGCATTATAACCTTACTTATCTAAAAATTGCTAGCGTACTTTACTTTCGCAGTTCATAAGCAGAAATAAAAGTTTCCAATAAGGTGGAATTTAGTGAATAAAACTTTTCTGCATTCTACGTCAGGATCCATATCAAATCCAAAACCAACAATACTCGCTTAAGTGTGAAAAATTCAGATGCTCAGCGTCGTTAATCTACGGATATGCGGCAGTGGAAACGCTTGTACGGATGCCGTAGGCGTGTGTTCAATTGACACAACGCATTCGTACGCAGTAGTGGAAACGGGCTTTTAGTACATTTAATTAAATTATTATATACATTAATACAGTAATTCATTATATGCATTAAATTATTATTATATATATAAACGGATTATATTATATTGTTCCTTTACATTAGGCTCCTCTATTATTTTAACAGCTTTTCTTTATTGTTCTGTATATCATACACAGTCTGTGTGGCTATTTTTAAATCAGCATGAAACTGCTTCCCCTTTTCTCTTAGTAGTCCTGAAATAGTTACCCCATCACTCGACCGCTGCCGGAACCACTTGTACAAGACAGCATCGAGGTTTGCTGATTACGCCTCATGTAAAGATTTCCGGTTTCAGATTTCGGCATTAGAATCACTGTTGCTGTAAAATTTTAACAGCTTTTCTTTATTGTTTCGTGTATCATACACAGTCTGTGTGGCAATTCCATACAATTCTGGTATAAACCAAGCAGTAGCACCTGCCTCCATATTTAGCAGAATTTCCACTTTTTTCATTACCGTCAATGCAACGTGTTTACATTTTTCAATGTTGCAAGCAGTAAAATCACAAGTGCATTTCTTATCTATCATTGTGTTAAAAAGCCCTGAAATTTAAAATATTCTTAATTTATCTACAAAATATCCGGATAAAAAAAAACAACATCACTACACAATCTCCTGAAATAACAAATCTCAGAAAGTACAATAACGTGAAGTGAACTTTGAAAGAAGAGTTGAGTTAATCGTCTGCTTTTTTACCTCGATGCAGACTGGAGGGGAGGAAAAAAACTCTTATTATGGATGTCAATAATTTGCTATTTCCGTTATGACTCATTATTATTCGGTAATTCTAAGGTCATTATCCAGTAAGTATTTTTTCTTCAATATTTCTATCCATGTTGCAGTTTCCGGAACCTATAAATTAAATGTTTATATTTTGAGAGGCAACGCAAATTTCAGGCCGGCGGGTTTTCAGTATTTGACTGTACTTGCATTTTTTTTATCATACTTTTACTCTAAACATTAAATTTTGTACTTAAATTTTTTTTTTTTAATCTTTATTTTGTGAAAGTAAACAGGTTTTAGACAGCAAAACTTGCATTTATTTCCTCGCTAATACATCGCATAACTATGCATGCCTGTGTAAGAAAATGGTGGCACTGGGAAGTGAATCTTATCTTTTTTCCGTGGCAGTTAAGGGGTTAAGAAGCCTTTCCAGTGTTGAAATTATTCTCATACAATTTTCTATTTTAGTTTGATGGCTCATACATATATTGCTAGAATCAAACCTCAAAGAAATAAAATTGTAGCCACTATTTTTAAATTATCCGCAACTTAAAAAGTTTGCTGTCAAAATTAACATAGGAGCACCAGTTGTAAAACAAATACACTTAAAAATATATTAACACAAGTTAAATAATAACACATTCTTTAATCTACATATTAATAAAAAGAAGATATTTATAGTAACTCACAAACCTATGTATTGTAAGGTATAATCTCATAAGCTCTGTAAATTGAGGATCTTCATAGCCCAGCATTGAAGTGAAATTATGAGACCAGTCTTTATTCACATCTATTGCCCCTATGCTACTACCATCACGATATAAATTTCTATATATAGTAGCAGCAATGGGAGGGAGTTTTGCAATAAGACTCATGGCATCATCATATGTCAGCTGTAAAGTTACATTTGTATTAGAAATATGTCTTGAAAAAGAACAGTACTCTCTGTCTTTAAATGAATAACAAAAATAACCTACCTCCCAGTATTTAGTTTTAGACACTCCTTCACTATAAGCTTTAGCAAACTTGCTTTCAGTATTGCAAGCTGTTATTGCAGCACTAAACTGTGACATAGGATGCAAATTAGATGGGAAGTTATTCAACATTGTGACAACATGAGATGGAAGATCTGCAAGTTCAGCCCATTGTTTTGACAAATGTTTCACCTATACACAAAATTTCTCAGTTATAGTGACAATTTATTTCTTCTAAACAAACAAATAACAAATACAATAATTAATTAGAAAGAATAGGAAGTACCTGTTCATCAGTGGGCACATCACCAGTCATTAACAACCAAAATAATGCTTCAGGCAAAGGTTCTTCACCACCAGGTGCTTTTGGAAGTTGTTCCCTGCAATCTGGAATGGTTAGATCACGGAATCGGATTCCTTCTTCAGGATCAAGATGAGAAGTTTCAGTAACTAAACTCTTCATACCACGCATGCCACCATATATCTGCAACAAATTCTCAATTATTTATATACATATAAACATGCATTTAAATGAAATACACAATACTTCACATAATCCAGCTTTACTACAATTTAGTTTGAATGATAGATTTCTACTTATGTTCTACACGATGTGCCCAGGATTACAAATGTTGAGAACAGTTAATCCAATGGTTCCACGTTCCCACTTTAATTAAATTGTTGTTTAATGAAAACTGTGTTGAATCACATAATGTCTGGCCATATTTTAAGTTTTCTTATTACCCATGCTCACTAATTATGGAAAAGTTGTTTATATTTGATGCAAATTCAAAAAGAAAATTACATTGTAGCTTTAAATTCAAGGGCAGATTTTTTATTAGCTTTTTTAATTTTAAAATCATACTGCCACTACAAATATGGTAAATTCTAAAAAATTAGAAAATGAAATTATTTTTAACACATAAATAAACTAGTTTTTCCCCATTATGCAGTCAGGTCTTTTTTTCGGCAGTTTATTTTTATGCTGTTTTAAAATTATGGAATATGATGCATATTTAATTTTTTTTTCTGGAATCCTGTGCATTTATCTCAGGCCCTTTGTTTTTTTATCTCTGACAGCCAACAGTAAAGAAAGTGGAGAGAGCACTGACAAGGGCACTCTCTGCATTGAATTTTATCTCAGTTGGATAACAATACCTAAATCTGTCACAGCTCAAAGTTTTAAGCATAAAGCAACTGAAATACATCACTCTGATTGCAATCAACTGCTGTCCTTTACGTGTAAGCTTTGTAGAAGAAATAACCAAGGGACATTTGTGAACTTTAATGCTGAATTAAGTTCTATCAGTTTTTGATATGCAAATTTACAGCAAAGTTCATTTGTGTTAGTTAAATTGTAATGCCCATGTAAAAAACATAATGGGTACAAAAAGAAAATGTGTCCAATGATTATGGAAATGAAAGTTATTATGTCACCAAAAAATGTGGCTCGTTCTAGAACAAAAGCTCGACGTAATCAAGTTTCATGAAAAATGTACATTATTTGTGAGACTAAACTGTAAAAAAAGAATAGAAATATAACCAGTATAGAAACTTATTAAAGCAAAAGATGAATATAAATCACAACATATGGCTATGGCTTCTTATTTATCAGAAGTAGTGACTAAAACTAGAAGCACTTCAGCAGTAAATATGGCTTAGCTATTATCCATATGGATTCAAGACTTAAAATGACTTCCACTTAGTCAAATGGAAATCCGGGCCAAAATGATGATTTACAATGATTTGAAAGCTACTGATGATACAGAAAATGAAGGTGAGGGGGACTAGTGAAAATTTTACTATAAGTCATGGGTGGTTTTTGCCATTTTAAGCAATGAATTGATATTCACAGCAATCACTGATAAATGGCTTTATTCTGGAAAAAAATCACTGTCACACAATTTTAGAGCAGTGAATGAAAAGCCTTGGATATAAAATTTCAAGAAAAAACATTATGTCACACTGTTATGTGAAAACAAAGCAGAGAATTTCAAAATACAATTGATGCTTGTGTGGTGTGCAGAATCATAAAGTGCCTAAATTAATCAAAATAATAAGCTCTCATTGTTGTGGTATTCAAATAAGAAAACAAGGGTCACAAGAGCTTTATCTGAAGATTGATTTATCAGTTCTATTCACACTAAATGTTGCTGCATATAAAAAAAAAAAATCAGATTTTAAGATTTTATTAGTCACAGGCAATGCACCAGCTCATCCAATTGGTATCTGTGATTTAAATGAAAATGTATGAATTATTTTTCTTCCACCATACATGATGTTATTGATTCAACCAATGGATCAAAATATCACCGTGACAGTTAAGGCCTATTATTTGCATTACACTTATTTTTACACACTATAAAATCCACAAAGGCAAAAATGAGCTTAGCTTAATGGAATTTCGAAGAGTTATAACACCAGACATGTTACAGAAAATATATGCAAAGCACGAAATGAATTAATGGCAAACAATATGAGGATTGCATGGATCATGCAAATGATTTTATAGATTCTGAAACTCATTTTGAAGTCATAAACAGCATAGTAGGAAGTGACAGCAACTTAAATCAGATTCCATCCCACAATTCAGTGCACCATATCCATCATTAATGAACTAGATAATGGTGCACTTATTAACACAGATCAAGGGTGGGCAAATACTTTTAATCACGGGCCCAAAAAAGGTCTTTTTTAGTACATTAATCATGTGAGCAGAGCTGTTGCAAGGTGCAATGGTGCTTGAGTGATAATCTTTTGTGGTGCAAATATTGTTTGTCAGGATGCAATGGACAACACATCCCTCCTCAGTAGAAATTTACAAACTAATAATTTAAAAATAGCATTTTATCTCAGATTTTTTTCCCTTTTACATAAGCCCCAGGTAGTGAACAATGGGTACAATGGCTCTGCATGAGGGTCAACCAATGAAATATAAAACATGCACATAAATTTCAAGAATAACAAACAGGAAAAGCATCTATAAATAAACACGTTTTTTTTTTTAATTTATAGCTTTACATAGTTTTATTTTCATTACAATTTTTTGTAAACACAGTGTAATAAAAGAGTACAGTTGTGTAGTTACACACTGTTTGTTAAAAAAAAAAAATAATATATGTTTACTGTAAGATGTGAAATCTCGAATGCTCGTTTGAAATTATTTCATCCAAATTAGGCCCCATTTCACCTGTAGTAATCCTTAACCCCTTTTGCAAGAGCATGTTGCTAAACTACCCTCCACAGACAGGTGTGAAATAATATGCATCAATTCCAAATGGCACTAGCAGCCAGATGATGCACTAGTGCATCGTCATTTGAATTGACCTTCCAGATGGGTGTGGCATATATGCACTTTCAAACATACACATTCTTTTAGAATCACTAGATGGCATTCCAAGTTTACTACAGTTACTCCAGTTTGTATTCAGTTTGATCTTCTTTAGATAGCAGATATTAAGTTTTTTTGCACTGGGTAAGAAAGTTAAACTAATAGTACGATGTCTATGAGAAAGAAGTTTTTAACGGAAGAAGAGTATATTCAAATTGTAAACACCATCAGTGTCCATTCGAGCCCATGAGTGACTATTCTGACACTAGAGATTTAAGTGAGAATAGTGATTCTGTTACCTAAATTTTCTCAGAGACTGAACTGGAAGTTTGTTTTGCTTTCACCTCACAATCCAGCAGAACAGAGGCTACTCCACCACAAACTCGATCTTTTAAGTAACAGAAGCCTTATGAATTTACAGGAATTGCAGAAGTAAACTTAATTCAAAATTATGTGAATGAAACTGATTTTTTCAACATTTTTTCCCAATAATTTAAACATAACAGTTGAAGAAACTAATAAGGTCTATGAACAAAAGATAAGTGAAAATCCATCTTCATCTAAAATCAACATACTTCTGTAGATATGCCTCAAATGAGAAAATTCCTAGGATTAATTATTCTGTTGGGGGTGTAATTAAAAGGTTTGACCTGAAAATGTGTTTCATAACCAATGAAAGTGACCAGATTATCATAAAATGTCTATTTTCTGAATCATTTATGCTGTAATATTTAATCATATATTTTATTTTTTACATACGAGATATAGATTTAACCTTCCGGCACACACACTATGCTCAAAATTTACGACAAATTCGGTTTTTAATACACACTTTTTGATTATCGCAGCTGAGACGTCTGAATGTCATTTCTATTCCTTCTTTCAACCCTTCCCCACATCATGGAATGTGCCAAAAGGAAGTCATATGACATTTTTTGTTTTTTACTGGGCTTTTGCGCTACGTGGCAGCTTCTTCGTAAAAGTTATCACACGCACGCGCGGTCATGGGGGGGAAGTATTCGGAAAATATTTTGTAATATTGTGATGTGTATTATTAATTGATGTGTTTATTTATAATTAATTGACGTGTAATATTTTAATTCATATAAATTCCGAGTCTATAATTTTTATATCAGTTTTTCATGGTAAAAAAATATGTGCAACCAGCTGATTTTGCTCACATTTTTCAAGAATTATCTGATGAAGAAAAAGAAGACAAGGAAGCTTTAGGATGTGAGAATAATAGCACTGTTACTTGAGTGGAAATTATAGCCTAATTTGAATTGTTATATATGATAGGAATAAGAAAAAGGACTCCATGTAAATGGAAAAGAATTCTCATGAGATAGCACTGGAATTGAAATAACAAGAGCTGTGATGATCTACACAAGATTTTTATTTCTGAAAAGTTGTCTTCGATTCGATCATAAATCAACAGTACAGGACATATGAATACTAAAACTAGCTTGGATTTTAAGAAATAGATATTAAATAATAAATTTTTTATAATAAAATACATCATTGCTTTTCCACCTTACTGATTTGAACATTTAAAAATAATTTACTATCATTTAAATTTGATATTATTTGTATTTTGCAGTAATAAGGTTAATATTTCATGTTTTAACAAATTTATTATCAATATTTACTCATTTCTGTCATTTTTCATGCCAAAAACAATAAAATAACAGATGTCGTAAAAAATAGGACTCGTGCTTGCTCATGTAAAATTCCCCCATGCTCCGTACTATAAGGTTAAGTAAGTTTTTTTTACAACATTTCATCAAGATGAGTCAAATATTTTATTTTGGATTTAGATTTTAGTTACAATTTTTTTCAGAATCTCTTGATATTCTATATTTATGATTATATTACTGTTAAGTACCATTACTTAGAAAGAAAAAAAAAAGGGGGGGGTTAAAAAATAGTTTTTTTTTTTTTTTTTAAAGCTAGGCTTAGTGATGTGAAATATCCAGTCTTGCACGATCGTACTATTGCATATTGCAACAACACACCATCTCCAAGTTGAGTTGTGCTAAGCGGCATGGCATCACATAAGAGGATTAACTACTGATGCATATGAGAGTAATGTGAAAAGTTTTCAGCCTGACATTGAAAGACTGCAACTATTAAAAAATGATTTTATTTTTCTA